AGTACCCTTTCTGTGCCATCGCTGTCACCTCAACTATGTCTTTCAACAAGACAACGCCTCCATTCATGTGAGCCGTGCAACGGATGAGTGCCAATAAATAAGCATCCTGCCACGGTCAGCCTGCAGTCCCGATCTCAATCCAATGGAACATATCTGGTGCATAATAGTCAGACAGGTTTATGCGAATAACCGTCAGTTCCAGGGCATAGGAGAGCTGAACCGGGCGATTATCGAAGCATAGAGAGCAATCGATGAGGAACTCTTTGAAACCTAGTTTCTAGTATGCCACGCAGGCTCGTTGATATTGCTCTTAAACAAGGAGGAGCTATAGATTATTAACTGCTGTACATATGCCATTACATTGATAAATCATTTGCTTTCTCAGGGTGACCTTATAATTATGAAACGGTGCAAAACCCGACACTATCTTTAAAAAATTCGTAAAAAATTTGAGATGAAGTATATTGCGACCAAAATTTGAGCAAGGAGGTACATTGTGACAAGGAATCTACCGGTATTTGCCAAAAAATTCCATTCCGGCTGCTTTCTCCAGAATCGCAAAAATCTGGGGTGACCTTGTAATTATGAAACGCACTGTATTGCACCGGATCGCAAAGGCAATACATTCTGCGTATATGCGTATATCAGAGCTGCGGAGTCCGGCTCGACATTGAAAGAGCCGACTCAAAAGACCCTGAAGAAGGCGAAACAGCCGAAACGTTGGCCGTATAAAGTATTCAATCTTGAGAGGCTTGAACAGGACTTATCTTTACTGTACATCAAAAGACATCGCTCGAGTGCTCTGCGAATTATGCTTAGAGCCCTTGACGTGGATGCACTGGTCATGCAAATCCCACCTGCAACAGAGCGTAGGAAGAACTGAGGAATCGAACAGATTAGCGCGAAGCTCTATATCAGTCAAATGGCTGGTGCCTTTCAGAGGTCCGAAGGCTGCCTACGCTGCTTTCTGCCTCTCACCAGCTTCATGTAGTTGCCCCTGTTCAGGGAACACCCACGATGAACGTAAGATGAGGTCTCTGGATAGGTGTACCATCGACCTTAACTTGACCTTCTTCAGCCCAAACATTCTTCATGGACTGTGTCTTTGTTTGGTTGATCCGCAGCCCCACCGTCTTTCCTGCTTCATTGAGTTCAGCAAGCATAGTCTCGGCTTCCGCAACGCTGCATGAAAAGAGAACGACGTCATTAGCAAACCGGAGATTTGAAAGGAACAGTCCATCCACACGATTGCCCTTTTCGTCCCAGTCTAGCGACTTCATAACCTACTGCAGCGCGGCTGTGAATAGCTTCGGCGGAATAGTGTCGCCTTTTTCTCACCCTTCCCTATGGAAATGGGGAGAGGTCGTTGGAACAGCTTCACCGTCGCGCTGTAGCGACTGCTGCAGTCAGCTAGTGTTCTTATGTAGGGAGGGTCCAGTCCTCGATCGACCAGTGCTGACAGGACCTTATTCATTCCGACGCTAACAGCGCTTTTTCGTAGTCAACGAACAATATCGAAATTCTCGGCTCCCTCCGATGACCATTGCGGTAGCTTGGATGTGGTCTAAGCAGCTTATTCCGTCCCGGAATCCGGCCTGCTTTACAGGCTGAGCTTCATCAGACGTTCACGATATGCGGAATGGAACGATAATCGTAAGCAGCTTGTAAAGCTCACTCAAAAAGCTTAGTGAGCGGAAGTTCCAAAGATGATCGCGGTCACTCGTCTTGTGGAGAATGATCCCCCGCGAATTCCTCCACTGGTTGAGGCTTTTCTCCTTCTGGTGGTAAGATGTCATCGGTGTTTTGAGGAGCTTGAAGCTCGTTACCATTGCATCCAGTAGGTTGGCTGAGATATTGTTGGGGCGTGGAGTAGTGCTTTTTATGCTCGCAATCGCATCTCTCACTTCTGAGGAGGTATAATTTTGTCCAGAAGGTATTTTTGGTTTCCGCACGGGTATGGTGGATCGCTGCAGGTTGGGGTAAGACTTCTGTGCAGCTTCCTCTATCTCAAATCTCGATGTTGTGAGTTGCACTACCGTTCTCTTTTTCAGACACGAAAATAGTTTATTGTGGTTTTGAAGATCCCGATGGCATTTTTCCAGACTAGTTCTGTTCAGATCTGCCTTAAGTAGTCTCCTTTCCCTGTATTACCGGCTGGCTTCGCCGCACTGCTTGTCTGCAGCTGGTACTTTCTTGCAGCCTTTCAAGATGTGTGGCATTCTAGTCGAGCCACAGGTTTCTTCTCGTTTTGAATATGATCCTCCGTCGCATCTGAATTGCAAGTGGGCTGCGAAAAAATGGGCTGTTCAGCCCATGTGAGTAAACCTCGAACCATCGTGTCGTAGTCTCGGTCGGATAATCCATAATATGCCAGCCATATCGAGACAAACCCTCATTCAGACATCTTCACCGTAAACAACATGCATCAAGCTCTTAGCGCGTTGTTTAGAGATCATTACCAGTTTGTGATGGAATTTGATTCCACCACGAGGGAATCGATGATCAGACCCACAGATGATGGTTCCACACCAACAACCAGTCAGCACCACTTTCCGTTCGTTGAATATGTGCACGACAAAACCAACGCCGTCAACTTTGACGATGGAAGTTGTTCTCCACGAACGATTAGGGTTCCGTCAGGGAGTTCTTAATGATCGCTGTCATTTGGCTGCAATACACTATACGTCGCGACTCAAACTCGTACTTCTGTTGTCCGTGCACCGGACTCTTGATCCCTTACACTACCAAGACCAAACACTTACCCTGTAAGCCTTACAAGTCACAACCTGCTTTAATATGATTTTCTTGTACGGCTGTAACTTTTTGTACAGGGTGTACCAAAATTATTTGCGCCAAAGTTCAGTCATTTTTAAGGTAGAAATAATCTATCAAATTCACAATACCTGTTATTAATTAGTTGCATAAGAAGGTTTCCTTGCAATATGCATGGTTGCTGATGTGGAACTCCCATTATCTTTCAGATGGAGAAGGCTCATTCAATGCCACTTGCAATCATTGACACGCGCGAGGTGGAAGGGCATTATGAAACTCCTTGGTATTTTTCTAATAACTGTATAGGAGGCTATTAAACGATATAGAAAAGAAGATTGAATCAGAGACAAACCAGGAAAGATAGAAAGGTAGAATGTTCTGAAGATAGGACTATTAAATTGGTCCGTATGCCAATCGGTCGGGATCCTGGGTGACCCATCAAAAGGTAATTAACGGGCACGGCTTATACGAGTTATCGCGATAGAAGAATGTCATGCAGGATCTTCACTGCCGTTCCTATCGTATGCAGAAATTTCGCTTCGATTCCGATCTCAACAGATACTGCAGGACCAAAAAAGCAGAAAGTCGAAAGTGGTGACACGCAACCCTTCGTCGTTTTCTCTGGTCAAGAAATTTTTTACGATAAAGCCATTCCTCAACAACCAAAACGTTCGCGTTCTGGAAAAAAAACGCCTAGCGTG